AACACATTGCTGTTCAACCAATAGTAAAATGGAGAGGGAAAGAATTAACCGTGCAATTTACCCTGCAGTGTTTGGTTAGTTGCTTTCAGCAGTGGTTCTCAACCTTCCTAATGTGGCGATCGTTTAATACAGTTCCTTATGCTGTGGAGACCCCCAACCATACCATTATTTTCGTTGCTACTTCATAATTTCAGTGAATATGTGATTTCCGATGGTCTTTGCCCACCCCTGTGAAAGGGTCGTTCGACCCACAAAAGAGTCGCCACCCACAGGTTGAGAACCGATGCTCTAGAGCAGTGTTTTCCAGACTTGTTTGGCCCACCGCCCCATTTCAGTAAATGAGTCACCTAGTGCCCCCTCTCTATATAACTATCATCATCATCATGTATCACGCCGAAAATCATAGGCGGTCATCATTCACTCTCCTATACTAACTATCAGCAGAGTCCTGGATCAGGTGTTGCTCTTGTCCCGCTCCATGCATGAAGTCAAGCTTTCAAAAGAATGACTTCCTTGTGTTCCACTTTCTATAAATTGTGCTAGTTGTCATCATGTTTTCGAGTCTACTCTTTGCCTTTAAATATACCTTGTGTAAAAAAAAAAAAAAAGAAAAATGATAAAACAGCAACTGTCTTCTTTTCGTCGTTTTTTTCCCACCCCCCCCCCCCACCACCTCCCCCCCCCACTCCCCCCCCCCCCCCCCCACTCCCACTCCTCAACATGCTCTACTCTGGTCTGTAAAATGTGATAGTTTTCTCTCAAGTTTTGCTTCGTAGATTGTTTGAAGTGGCCTACACATTTTAAAGCTCCGATAAATGGGGTTTCATGATGTTTCCTGTAGCCTCAGAAAATTGTGCCCCCCCCCCCCCCTCCCCCTCCTTTTTTTCGACTCCCACCCCCCCCCCCCCCCCCCACCCCCCCCCCCCCCCCCCACCCCCCCCCCCCCCCCACACCCTTTTTCTAGACAGCCATAGTTGCCTAGATGGAATTGGTGGACTAGTTCTGTTCTTGGGACAGAATTCTGATAATACAATTTTTTTTTAATTGCATGTTTGAAGCGCGAAGTGGTTTGGAGGACTGGTTTTTTTCTGTATATAAATATGGCAGATTTGTATTTAGTTAACCTGGAGTATTGGGGTCTGCGAAATCCCGTCCTAAAATGGGATCACAAAACCTAAAAGGGCACGATGTGATTTGGAACCTGTGAACACTCAGGTGTAACAACTAAGCTTTGGCAGCCGAGAATATTGGTCAGTAATTGGTCACGATGGATAATAAGATGTCGACTCTGCAGGGCAGTGTCTGGTACAGTTTTCAAGAGATATATCTGTGTTGTGAGGCAAGGTGAGTTGCTTCCCCGTCTCTTCCTTCGTCTGAACTGCAGCATCGCTATTGTCATACAAATTTTAATGCCGCAATCAGGGTTTCATAATGATAAAAGCAACACAACTAAACACATTTTTATTACACAAAATTATATTTTGCCGATCTCAAAATGGTGCCAGCCATGTGCAGATGCCATGGGCATTCAACTAACACTTTTGTTTGTTTAGCAAGAACTAGTGAAATGTGCAGGTTTGCTCCTAAATTCAGGTTTCTGTTGTCAAAATGACTTATTCATTTGTAGTTGCGAATAAGTCATGTGATAGTTCAGATACGCTTACAACTCTGTTTCTCAGCTGTTCAATAATGTGTAATATTTATAGCTCCCGATGAGCTTGTGGCCGAGTTGTTTTAATGCAAGGCTGTCGGCGAAGACCTAAGTTCTAATCCTCGATGTGAAACTGCATTTATTTTACTGTTAGGGACACAAACAGAAGTAAAAAAGTAAAAGCCAGCCCTCTATAGTTGTCTCTTAACACATATATGATAGGTGTCCTTTTTACCCTTATAGGCTGTATTAAAATTTGAGCCACTCAGGTTTTATTTCAACAGCCCTTGTTTCAAACACAAGCAATCTTGACGAACAATAAAGCATAACATAACTAATTTTCTTGCAACTTTGTCTCCATACGATTGTTGGCACCTATCGTGCATCCAATCAAAACAAGACGCTTCGGGGAAATACAAAGAGCAGGTTGTTATTGCAATTTCACATAAAACAGGTCTTTATCTGCATTATTAAATTATTGCATTCAAATACAATAAAGCTGTTACACAGGTGATTGATTGTGCTATGGGGTAGAAACACGAAGAATAAAAAAAAAAAAAAACTAGATTTATAAACTAGTGCCTGCAAAGGATAGGAGATATTACATTATTGTGCATCGGCTGCAGACTCTTGCAGAAAATTCTGGTTGTTCGTCTACTCTTTGACTTTCGGTTTGCTCCAGAATATGAGTTTTGCGGGCGCATACGTTCTACATATGTGGCTTATTTGTACGTAGACTGTTGTTTCATCGGCTACCAGACAGATGCCCTCCGGTTTTAAAAAACACCATTAATTAGTCCCCTTTTACGACATGCTTGTTATGGGAAAGTGGATCTATCTCCCCCCCCCCCCCCCCCACCCCACCGCCACGCAAACACTCAAAATAGGGTCCCGAAATTTAAAGAGGGAATACAGATTAATAGAAACTCCTTCATTTTCTTCTTTCATTTGCTTGAAATAGATTCTCTATATTTGCAATGTTGTATCACTGTCATTTGTAATTTATTCAGCCAACAATTTTGCTTTGATATGTTGTATTTAGGACAGTCTTGGAGGACGGGATCTTTAAAACAACAACAAATTGCCCCCGACATTGGGACGCAGTAAGTAGTTTAGTAATATCAGAAATGTTGGTGGAAAGGCGCAAACTTCGTAGCATTGCTGGATACAGCTGCAAAGCATTTATGTCGCTCAAACGAAAGAATATACAGTGAAACCTCGCTTAACGAGCATAATTCGTTCCAGAATCATGCTTGTAAAGCGAAACACTCGTTATGCGAACAATTTTTCTCACATAAATTAATGTAAAATACGATAATGCGTTCCATGTCGAAAAAAAAAATGGTCACAAAATGTTATGTATAATGTTTATTCAAAAAAAAAAATTATATACATACTGTTAAGGAGAGGGAATCATCATTATCTTTTCTTTCACCGTAGAACGAACCCACCTTGAATGCGAATTCGATTTGCAGAAAACAAAAACAAAAAAGTCGAAATAATTATGATACATAGCTAATTACTTTTTACTAGAAAGATATCCAGAGACATTGGGGGGGGGGGGGGGGCGGTTTAAAATTTGGCGAAAATGTGACACAGCATTATCATTAAATAAATTTGCAGCGCGCATAGCCACTTCCTTATTAGGGTGATGCTTCTCAATGTAAGATGCAACAGTTTCCTATGCTTTTAGCACTTCTCTTTTTTCGCCAGAAGATTATTGCTTTTATGTTACCTCTTCCTCTGACAAACATTCCTCAAAAACTTCTTGCTGTGAAACACAATGCAACTCTAAAAGCTCTTCGATGGTCAGCTCTTGGCTGTGCTCTTCCACAAGCTCTTCGATATCATTGTTATCCACCTCCAATCCTATGATAATGGCCAAAGACACAATCTCGTTGACTACATGCTTCTCAGGTACTGTCTTGAACCCTTCAAAGTCACATTCCACAACGCTCGTACAACGAGATGTATTTAAGTAGCATAGATACAAGGTCCTTCACAGTGAGGTTGGTCCCTTTAGTCACAGGGAAAAAAATCTCGAAGAGTGCTTTAGTGTAGAGTTTCTTAAAGTTAGAAATAACTTGCTGGTCCATGAGCTGGAGTAACGAAGTGGTGTTGGGAGGCAGAAACTGGATCTTGAAGAACTTAAATTCTTCAGGGAGGTCATCTTGTAGGTCTGGAGGATTCGTGTACATATATCACAATACAAGTGTCTGAGAAAATGTGTGATCACAAGCGACACTACGATGCTACTGGAACGAGTGTTAAACACTGACTGATGTAACATGCGCACAATCCGGGACTTCCCCTCTCCTCGCCATTCGTTAAGCTCGTTAAGCAAGTCATTCTTTTACAATTTGTTTTGCTCCTTTTGCGAATTACTCGTTATGAGAGGTGCTCGTTAAGCGAGGTTTTACTGTAGTTCAATCGGCATTCGATGGCTGATGTATTGTTGACGTAGCCAACATCCCACCAGTAGACTGTGGGGAACTTTGAGCTATTTACAATAATTCCATAGTCAATGTCATTTTAAAAAAAAAAAAAAAGTTAATTTTGATGCAGATTCAAACTCACAGTCAGCGAGCCGACAAATATCTAATTGGGCTATGGCTTCTTCCTCTGCTACGTGTGCAGATTCCTAAACATGTACAGGCGTGTTTACCGAAATTTTAAAAATATCTGATGTGAGCCAGTCCGAAACATCTGAAGATTTTAAAACAAACAAGAGCAAAAGAGCAAATTGTAAAAAAAAAAAAAAAAAAACTCGTCATAACTGTTTGAATCGTTGATGGTAACCGACACAGACAAACGAAACTATTAGCCCTGCACCTTCTGGTACATCTGTGGTCGGCCCATGACGTCGAATGTAACTATTTTCTCAACTGAACATTTGTTAGAACATCGTCAAGGCGTGTTAGAACACGAAGAATATCAAGTCTCTGTAAACGAACAGACAATCACGTTCATTTCAACAATGTCTTGGCCTTTCATTTGTATTCCTGTGATGTGAAGGGTATAGGTTTAATCTCTCTCTCCCAAATTAACGTTTGACAAGAAGCGGCTCTACAGATGAAAGAACCATAGCTTTTCCTCCTCGGCGTTGATTTATCTTTGATCCATCCTGATTCCCGCACAGTGTACTTTTCTCTATCCTTGCTTTTCAGACGAAGCCTCAAGAGACTTCGGTGTGGACAAGGTTTTTCAGAACCTTCACAGATTATTCGGCGCACGGATTCAACGGCCGGCTGCAAATTTCCTTGAGCAAACAAATCTTCATGTGACATTGAAAGGTGCTCCCTGGAGTCACGCACACATGTAAGATCGAGCCCGGACACCCCTGTTATAGATCACACACTCCCGTAGTTTACTGCATCAACAGACAAGACCGTTACCACATATGTGCAGGGGTGGCGGAAACAGACGAACAATGAACGGTTGATCGTTGTCACAGGCGTCGACTGACGTCAAATTGTAGTAGTAATTAGGGATTCTTTTTTCACCAATGATTGCTGTCTTTCACAACGTGGCTGGCCCTTGTTTAGTCCGTTTTTCATAATGCCATCTAAATTCTGGTTCTGCAAAACATTCGTTAACTCTTTCAGTTCCAGGCTGTTCATTATTTAAGCATTTCTTATATTTAAATTGCTGGTCTATAGAGAGCGATCTTTTCTAAGTGTAATGGGTTAAACCAGAACAACTACGAATTCAAAAGGAGTTTCAATAATAAAGTAACAAATGGAGAAAGACAAATTAGACGTAACAAAAGAATAAAATAGAAATTCTGAGATCCAGAAATCTTGTAACTAGTAAAGGTATAACCAGTTGTCTAGTACCTACAAATGTTAGTGTAATATGATATCTATGTTTTTACATTCACTAAAGCGCATTACAACGTTTAATGTATTTATTACTTATATTTTACATACAGGTGTTTGACTGGACAATTATCTAAGTCCTAACAGCCAACTGAAAGTAAAAAAATACATTGATGAATGAATACACACAACCAGCTTGATTTTTGAAAACATTGACTTGTATTGACTAGCTCATAGGGGCAAAGACCCCCGTGTGGGTTCCGGGTCCCCATTGTGGGGAAAACAAGAATAGACCCACTGCCTCCCCAAAAGCATGTCGTAAGAGTCGACTAATTGGGGAGCTTCCTTTGAAGTCGGAGTGCATCTGCCGGAGAGGCAAGGAACCAACAGTCTGTATTCAAGAGAATGAGATCTGTAAAACTGATGCACACGCAACACTCAGGTTCTGGAGCAGGACTGCAGTTCAGTAGTGGACGAGCAACCAGAACCTTTCGCCAGAGTTTACAGCTGGTGAACGCGAAGAAGAAGAAGAAGATAGGTGCAAAGAAAAGTAGTAGAGAGTGGAGGTTTACATGCAAAGGAAAGAAGTAGAGAGTGGAGGTTATACATGTAAAGGAAAGAAGTAGAGAGTGGAGGTTATACATGCAAAAGGAAGAAGTAGAGAGTGGAGGTTATAGATGTAAAGGAAAGAAGAAGAGAGTGGAGGTTATAGATGTAAAGGGAAGAAATAGAGCGTAGAGGTTATAGATGCAAAGGAAAGAAGTAGAGAGTGGAGGTTTTAGATATAAAGGAAAGAAGTAGAGAGTGGAGGTTATAGTTGAAAAGGAAAGAAGTAGAGAGTGAAGGTTATAGGTGTAAAGTAAATAAGTAGAGAGTGGAGGTTATAGATGAAAAGGAAAGAAGTAGAGATTGGAGTTTATAGATGTATAAGGAAGAAGTAGAGAGTGGAGGTTATAGATGAAAAGGAATCTGAGGGCTACCTTTTTCTTTTCTGAAATCACTAACGGTCTACTTTGTAGGTAGTCTATAGAGATCTACAAAATATGACCTAAACCTGGGGGGGGGGGGTTGACAGGGGGTGGGGGGGGGGCGGCTCACTCCTAAGAAGTTCCGGTGGAATAGTGGACGGCAGTAGACGCGTTGGTAGCCTTGCTATTGTTCAAAACTAGACAGTAGATATGTGATGTGGTCACTACCACCTTTATGTCGTATAACATTTCCAGATGTGAAATAGTTAGGTTAGGTCAAGATGACCTGGAGAAGTCCAGCTCAGTCAATTTAAAAATTCCGCTCTGATGGGGATTCTATCAAATGATCACCAGGGCGACAAGCAGACGTGGCTAGCTACTGCGTTACCGCGGCTCCCGAAGTATACTTCAAACAATGAAATGTTTAAAACAAACAAACAAACAAATAAAGCGGGACGCCAAACAAAACTAAAGTCGTTCAACATTTGTGAGCACGAATAATAAATTCCCTACAGACCAATATATAATTACAATGCGAATAGATGAAACCCCACTACCAGCACAGCCCCGAACATTTTTGTTCACATATGCTTGTTATGTGTTGATCATCAAACAGCAAAAATAATCATATTTAATTATCGTCCCCTTTCCCAGACGCCTTCTCCCAATTCCTCCCCTGCTGTGTTACTCCGCGTGTGATCTAGTTTTCCCCGATTGTTTTTCTCTCCAGGAGTGATCAAAAATAATAATAAGTGTGACAACAAGTTCGGATATTTCTGTTTGACTTTAATCATGACCTTTGAATACACCAGGTTGGCGCGGCCTGGAAAACCTCAGTGAGAATTCCCCAGTGCCTTGTCCCCAAATATCGCAGGTAAACACCAAGTTACAAACCGTGCCGCTCTTGTCAATCACCCATTCGACTTTCATTTCTGGACTCCTTGTTCCAGCCTCCCGTTGGAGCAGGGCGAGACAGGGAGAAAAGATCCACCTTCTCTAGCTAGACAACACGGTTTTATTTCCAGAACAAATATAATAATTGTAACGGGTCGGTTGTATCCGTGTTAGGAAATCTTTTGAGTAAACTGTCCTGGCGGGGATTATTGGAATAGGGCACAAGCAGACTATGTGGTGTGCGTGTGTGTGTGTTCTCACTCGCTGCCTCGATCTTTCCCGTGATGTTGACAAAGTAGTTCTTGGTACTCGAACCGACCTTAGGGTGCGCTACTGCAGTCCTGTGAGGATCACAGTCAGACGGGGCTAGGGGAAAACATTTGCTTAGACGTTTAAGGGACTTTAGTGGAATTGCTCGGTTAGTCTTAAATTACTATTATGTACGTATGTTTTTCAACTGAAGCAACATTGGAATTATGTGCTATACTAAATAGGTGGCTTTCATGCCTTGTGATTTTCCCTCTTTTTTTTCTAGACTCGCTGATAAAGACATGTGGAGGGAATGATAGGCACTTATATAATTTAGATAGCTAGCTGCATATCCTCTTCGAGCATGTCGCAAACCAACCTTATTTGTTGGTTCTTCTTTGTTTGGTATTACCAGGTCATTGAGCGTTCTGTAGTTTGTAACTGCTATTGAAACAGACGACGCTTGTTAAAATTTTCGAAGTCAGCGCAAAGCGGTCTGCTACTCAATCCGCCGCCGCTTAATCACCACTGAAAATTGAATGTTAAGCCTCCAGGATAAATCATAGATACCCCTCAACGTTTTAGGACCGTTATGACTAAAGCACCATAGGGCTTCACTTTATACTACACTGGTACATCCAGCTCTCCTGTGTGGGTAAGACAACTGAATACAAATGCCAGGACCAGTTGTAAAATGCATTTTGCGCCATAAAATTGAGTATATAATCAGTTAGCGTAAACAAAGTTAGACATACATTCTTTACAGTATGAAACCAGCCTTGGAATTTTGGGGGAGTTTGACTAAGTGATTTTACTTTCAGTAGTTCACTGTTGCAGTCGGAGCTGTTTGACTTTCATGCGGATGTCGAAGTCGACGAAAAGGAGTGTACTGCCATTTCGTGTGCAGCTGAATCAAACCCTTTGTAACGTAATTATGAAAGCTCGTTCACAACTTCTAAGCCACGGATTGCGACCCAAGCAAATAATACTTAGGAATTAATTTTTGCCAATCTAAATGCACTCATTCATGGAGCTCAAAATATGATCTTTTAAACAAACCTGTATTTTCCTTTCTTTAGTAAAAACGATTTTATGATGAAAGTAGTTAAGTCCATCACTGCCATAAAGCTACAAGCAAGCGTATATTAAACTCTACCTAGATGTCAGCAAGCCACCTTTTGTTTGGTAAGACAACACACACTATAAAATGTGAAACCCACATAAAAGCTAAGCCGTAACCCACATGCCCCTGCTGTCAGAGATCGTTGGCTTCTTCCATTCTCTTATTCTGCATGCAGATTCAACTATGTGAATTTTGAAGCGTACAGTACCAATTTGACCCTTCCACTCATCCCAAGCCAGTGAAAGGAACACTGAAGCTTCCCTGTCTGCCAATTATATAGACGTGCCTATAGTAGATTATCCACGCTATGGGAAATCAAAAACTTGTTAATGATGTTTTTACAAAGTGGGTGGTGTCGAATAATGCGGTGTTTGTGTGGTCTTTGATGTTGTAATGGATCGCTGCTTGGGCAACAAGTATACACAATGACACATTTAAGATTTATTCAGAAGGGGGGAAAACATACGCAAACAGAAGCGTAGTCTACTGGCTGGTATAAATGTGCCATATACGGATTGGGTACGAAAGGTCATGGGTCATATCCTAGAGCAACCTTAAATTAATTTTGAGTTATACATTTTTGTACCTGTACATGTATACATATATATATATATATATATATATATATATATATATATATATATATATATATATATATATATATATATATATGTGTGTGTGTGTGTGCGTGTGTGTGTGTGTGTGTGTACATGGATTTTCAAGACTTTGATTAACAAAAAATGATATCAGCGTTGAGTAGAGGCCTAAGAACTGACATGTAGCACTCGGGAATGTACATACGTGCTATGTCCTCATCTTCAGCAGCCAGCGAGTATTCACATTCCTATGGTGCCAGTTTGATAATATGTCTGTCTTGGCTTTCCTCTGAATTTATTAGAGCATCGACTAGATCTTCTGGTAAAAATAGCTGTAGAGTTCTCTCACAACCATAATGATCTGTTGGCGCCTCAGTATTGTTCACCTGCTTACAAAGGGCCTTGCCATGTCTTGCTTGTTATGAATCATTTCACCACCTAGTGAAACAGTCTATATATTTGCCTGTTTATTTCCCAAAACACCTGTATGCTGAAACAAATATCCAAGGAACGCTAACTACCTGTGACCTGTGAAGCGAAGCACGCTACTCTGCACGGAGCATGCCTGTCGCCATTTTTCTTAACATGCGTTGTGAGTGTCAAAAAACGAAAACACTACACAAGCAATATTAATTCTGCTAGGGAGACTAATATACTTTTTTGTGAAATATAATGTTCTCATAAAGTCCTGTTTCATATAAAATAACATTGCCATTTTCAGAACACATTTTGTGGCAACCAGCTCGATCTGTGGAAAGAAAGCTAGGAAGGTTACTACTTAACTCTAACACAATACATAACACCCCTAGAATAATGGACGGAACTGGGGAATCCGGGTTTCCCTTTGTTTGCGGTGGTCTAAAATTATAGTACCAGGCGAAAAATTAGTGGTTTGTTGAAATCAACTGTGTTGGGCTTTAAGGCGAAAATATCGCAACCTAGCTCTAAACCACACCGCATCGTCCGAATCGACTGTTTTTGGAGATTGCAGAAGAAGAGGAGGAGGAGAAGGAGGAGAAGGAAGAAGAAGAAGAAGAAGAAGAAGAAGAAGAAGAAGAAGAAGAAGAAGAAGAAGAAGAAGAAGAAGAAGAAGAAGAAGAAGAAGAAGAAGAAGAAGAAGAAGAAGAAGAAGAAGAATTGTCATATCAGTCACATTTTAATGTTAAAAATTGTCTTATTCCACAGTGTCACCAACTCTGAGTCCCGTTAGTTCCAGCAATACTTCTCCTGGCAGGTTGGTCACCCCAAGCACACCAAGTCCGAGTTCAAATCTTTCATCTTTGGGTCCAACAGAAGTCTGTGCGACTTCTTCTCCACGAAGTTCAGACTCGTGCTCGTCTCCCTCGCCTGGAGGAGGCGCAGTCAAGAAAAATACACCAGGTTTGTTGACAATTTATATCTGTCTGTCTGTCTGTCTGTCTGTCTGTCTGTCTGTCTGTCTGTCTGGGTACAATGTCTGTCTGACTCAGTCCATTATTTCAAGGGGTCTGTCTGTCTGTCTGTCTGTCTGTCTGTCTATTCGTCTGTCTGTCTGTGATGTCCGGTCTGCAATACTATCTATCTGCCACCTGCCGGCATGCCAGTCCTGTTTGTCACGCATCCCCTTTGTCTCTGAAAGTAAATTGTGTTTTTGTTGTCACAATGGTTTTTTTTTTATAAAATGTAAATTGTGTTTTTGAAATGAAATAAATGTCGCTGTTGTCTACAAAGTACCAAAATAAAGGTATTATTTTCCCAGAACTAGAGGCAGTTAACAGTCGATCGACTGTGAGGGACATCGGATATTAATGATGAGACTTTGCAGTTTGTTCCTTTCAAGATTGCAGTCCGCAGGATAAAGGCACCAAGGATGAGAATCCACATGCGCAAATTCTGGTAATTACTGTTGAACTGTGAGGTTATACTGGGGACCCTTTTTTCACAAAGTGACCGGAAGTCCTGACCATCTCGCGACCATCAACGAAACTGGATGATGCAAGTGGCCTAGTGAAAAATGGAGAATCTTTCCGCTGGATTGTGTAGAGAGTGACTTTTTACAAATGACTTGCTACATGGTAATAAATCTAATCATAAACGTACTTCTGCATTATTTGTCAAATAATTTAATCTGAAAATCTGCAACTTTTAGTCTGGTTCTTGACACTCCCTTTTTTTTAAAGACCAAATCTCCCACGAAGCTCAACTTTAGTTATTCTGACATGCTATTTGAATTCTATGTATTCTGCATAGGCACCAGGTAAAGAATGTTTGTAGTTTATTAGCAGTAGTTTTAGTTGTTTTCCATATTTTCGCTCCATACAGATGTACAGATGTGCGTTAGATTTATATTATAAATTTTCAGTTTAGCATTTCACCAATTTTGATTTCCTTTGATTTCCACAATTTCCTACTGCCACGAAACTCTATCGGTTACTCAAAGACAGTATTTTAAAAAAAAACCATTTTGCTTCATTGCTGCCGTTTACACAATTGTTTTTGCTGTTTTGATTAATTTGTCTGAATGGGAGGAGATATAAGCTGCTAACAAATGCTGTTGGGATTCTTGATCATAGCCGATGGAACAGCAGATATTATTAGGAGCGACCTACTCCACGTATCGGTATCCTCGATTTTGGAACATATTTTCCCGCTTGAAGTCGCGCGCCACGATATCGATTTGTATTATTCTACATGCATACATCCTTCTTTCGTTGGGTCAAAGGTTATGCCAACAAAAGAAAAATGTCATCGGTCCTTTGTTCGCGGTGCCTCGAATATACTGAACTGAGATATAAAGGCAATTATTACTGCAAAAAGGAGCAAATCTTCCTATTCTGTGGAGACAACAAGATGGACAAGTACCGATGGTGAAAACATTAATTCGTGAAAATACACGAGTGTCAGTTACTCATCATGGTATTTTGTCCAATATTGTGTTCAAGACTAACCGTTAGCTCTTTCTAGCTGTTGTTGATCTTCCAGAAGTTCCATAGTCAACACCTATGTTAGTTTCCGTCCTTAGGTTTGCTTTGTGTACAACTCGTGGATACTGTGACGACACAAGTCCAACCATAAGTGTGAAGAAGTATTCAAACATTATACTGGCGCATAATACTGGAGTCTTGAAGCCTAACGGCTGTAACGGCGTTGCTTCTTTCAAAATTGTGTCAAAGAATCGTAAAAAGTTTAACGATATTAATTGACGGAAACTGATAAATACAGGTACCAGCTGAACCACTCGGCCGATAAAGTTCTGGTTGCTCATCCACTTCTGGACTGCAGCCATGCGCCAGAACATGAGTGTTGCGTGTGCATCAGTTTACAGATCTGATTCAATGAATGCAGACTGTTGGTTCCTCGCCTCTCAGGCAGATGCACTCCGACTTCAAAGGGAATTTCCCAGTTATTTGACGACATGCTTTTGGGGAGGCAGTGGGTCTATTCTTGTTTTCCCACCACAATAGGGCCCCGGAACCACACGGGGGAGGGAAAACGCGAGGAATGCAGAAGTAGACAAGATTTTATCGACTTGTACCTTTTACAAAGCAGTTTTTATCTGAGTGTCAGGTATGTGTACTATTTTTGCTAACATTTACCAGCAACAACCATGTACTGTGGAGCGATCGTTCAGCACATGCGTCGTCTTGTAAAACATGGCCCTGCATGTGAGATAAACGTCTGTATGGATGTTTATGTTAAGCAATTCCAGGCCGGCAACGAAACAATAATGATTTGACAGTTGCTGGCGCTACGTCGTTCGTGGTTTGTGCATTTATGAAAGTAGCTTACAAACGAGCTTTGGTGATATCCCCGGGGAACTGCCAATATTTTTTTGTTCATACTTTACTTTTAGCATATTGAAATGTTTTATTCAAAGTGAAAGCCACATAGGAAGGTGAGCAATTTTTGTTTTTAAAATCACATGAAAAAGAAACACAAATTAGCACAGTGAGGTTACGGTTGAAACAAAAGTGATTTGCGCACCCTTTTTAATTAATCAGTACCGGGGCTGCCAGATATTTGAGCTTTGACCCCAGTGAGAGTTCAACAGTTGAGTACAACTGAAGAAAAAAACAATAATAACTGGAAAAAAAATATTCAACTCAAATCAACAAAAGCATCTAGAAAAACATCTACCATAAGAAAAAAATATTTGACTCCAAATGAAAAGCATCTAGAAAAGCATTCTACCCATTTAAACGTCAAAAAGACATCTAAATAAAAGGAAACAACATATGAAAAGCATCTAGAAAAGCATCTACCATTTTAAACGTCAAAAAGACATATAAATGGAAGGAAAAACATTCATATGAAAAGCATCTAGAAAAGCATCTACAAGTTTAAACGTCAAACAAGACATCTAAATGAAGAAAAAAACATATGAAAAGCATCTAGAAATGCATCTACCATTTAAAACGTCAAAAAGACATCTAAATGGAAGAAAAAACATATGAAAAGCATCTAGAAATGCATCTACCATTTAAACGTTCAAAAAGACATATAAATGAAGGAAAAAACATATGAAAAGAATCTAGAAAAGCATCTACCATTTAAACGTCAAAAAGACATCTAAATGGGAAGGAAAAACATATGAAAATGCATCTAGAAATGCAATTATACCATTTAAACGTCAAAAAGACATTTAAATGGAAGAAAAAACATCTAAATGTGGATGTAAATATCCGAAGCAACACTGAACGTCATAGTAAAGGCCGCGGGGGCTTGCAAGAGCGCGCTTTTGCGATTAGGGGGAGGTGTGAACAACTTGGAAGGGGGTAGAGAAACCGCGAGGAAGAAACCACAACCTGAACACCCTAGAATTTATTGGGAATGTCTCCTGTGACGTCATTGTGACGTCAGGGGTACGCAAAAAATATAGTACCTCTGTCTGTCTGTCTGTCTGTCTGTCTGTCTGTCTGTCTGTCTGTCTGTCTGTCTGTCTGTCTGTCTGTCTGTCTATCCGCCTGCCTGTCTGTCTGCCTGTCTTTCTGACTATCTATCTGCCACCTGCCTGCATGCCAGTCTGTTTGTCACGCATCCCTTTGTCTCTGAAAGTAAACTGGTTTCCCCACATTAAATGTCGCTGTTGTCTACAAAGTACCAAAATGAAGGTATTATTTTCCCAGAACTAGAGGCAGTTAACAGTCGATCGACTCCACGTATAATATCCACGATTTTAAACATATCCCAAGTCACAACGATTTCCAATGCATACATCCTTCTTTCGTTTATGCCAACAATGTTATCGGTCCAGATGAACTGAGATCTGCAAAGCACAGGACGAGCACTGATGGTGTTAATTCGTGAGAGTGTTCTCACATGTGTCCTATTGTGTTGTAACAGTACTGTTGCCTTATAGTCCTATGTTGTTTTCGTCCTTAGGTTTGCTTTGTGTCGTGTGTGACGACACATCCAGTGGCAAACATTATGGGATACTGGCTTGCAACGGCTGTAGCGGGTTCTTCAAGAGAAGCGTCAGACGGAAACTGATATACAGGTAACCAGTGTCGTTTGCAACATGTCTCAGCTGCCAAGACTTGTGGTTTATGTAAAAAGTCATTTTAGTCTCAAGACCAGTTAAAATTATATTTATTGAATTACAACTTATTACTTTTCCTAAGTTGCTGTCAGCCAGAAGGGAAGCAAAGCACGGGTTCCAATTGCGGGGGGAAAACAAAAATAGACCCACTGCCTCCCCAATAAGCATGTAGTTTAATTGGGGGCTCCCTTTAAAGTCAGAGTGCTTCTGCCTGAGAAGCAAGGAACCAGCTGTCTGTATACACGTAAGCAAGATCTGTAAAGCACATGTGCACGCAACACTCATGTTCTGGAATAACACTGAAGCCCAGGTGGACAAACAGCCAGAACTTTCTGCGGGAGTTTACAGCCGGCGAAGAAGGAGGAGAAGAAGAAGAAGGAGGAGAAGAAGAAGAAGAAGAAGAAGAAAAGAAGAAGAGAAGAAGAAGAAAGAAGAAGAAGAAGAAGAAGAAGAAGAAGAAGAAAGAAGAAGAAGAAGAAGAAGAAGAAGAAGAAGAAGAAGAAGAAGAAGAAGAAGAAGAAGAAGAAGAAGAAGAAGAAGAAGAAGAAGAAGAAGAAGAAGAAGAAGAAGAAGAAGAAGAAGAAAGAAGAAGAAGAAGAAGAAGAAGAAGAAGAAGAAGAAGAAAGAAGAAGAAGAGAGAAGAAGAAGAAGAAGAAGAAGAAGAAGAAGAAGAAGAAGAAGAAGAAGAAGAAGAAAAGAAAAGAAGAAGAAGAAGAAGAAGAAGAAGAAGAAGAAGAAGAAGAAAGAAGAAGAAGAAGAAGAAGAAGAAGAAGAAGAACAACAACAACAACAACAACAACAACAACAACAACAACAACAACAACAACAACAATGAATTGTTTTTAATCCAACGGGAAGGGTATATTACCTGTAGATGTGGTGTTTCGTTTGGTAAACTGAAGCTACAATGTAACCTACCAAAAATATGAAATTAAGCGATTAGCGAGGCAGTACCAGGAGACTGGTTGCACCTTATCTTAGAAAAGATTAGTTCAGTATCCAGGCATCCTCCAGCAAGAGCCTCGGGTAACATCAGACTGAGGTTGGCTGTTACGGGTGCCCTAATTATAGCTTTCTTAGAGGTGGAACGGAGTGTCCGGTCTTGTGGTGTTGGTCTGCCACCTACACTAAGACGTTTTGTCTTACAGTGTCAAACATTCAGGCCCCGTTGCTCTTAAATCCAGATAAAGATCTCTGGTCTCAGGGTGTCAGACTTTTCAGTTAGCCGTCAGGAGGTGACAAGGGGTGTTAAGTAGGTTGCTATTGACGACATCATCTGTCGAGCGATAATTGGTCTATAAAATATCAGCCCCATGGACAATAGGAACCTGGTATTTTAGGCCGCCCAGCATTCTGTGTCTCGTTATGATGAGGCAGATTCTCCAGCAGTCTTTGTCACAGCTTTCTTTAACTGTAAATTCTGAATCTTTTCTGTATCGTTTTTACGAAGCTGAGTGTTTCCGAGAACCACACTCACCAGAAGAATGAGGTTTATCTATCCAGTGGCTCTAAAAGGGGCTCTCTTGTCGTTTACCCCCCCCCCCCACACACACACACACATGCAAACACACATACACACACACAATCCACCCCATGTAAATTAAAGACCGGTAGCGATGGCACCACCTGGAATATTGTCAGTACGCTAAGGTCAACTATAACCACGTATAGAAATTACCCGTTTAAGTATTCATAAATTTCATTTAATTAAAAAATTATTTTTTAATTATTTGCTATTCAGCACACTCCAAACACACACAAACACACACACACACACACACACACACACACACACACACACACACACACACACACAAGACCTATCCCTACCTGAACATTGTAAATAGGGCTGAGCGCCCACCCCCCTTTTCCCAAGCTTTCGTTTTGTCCACGCCCCTGTTTATACGAAATGTGGAGGGATCAAACCAGACCGCTGCTAAGTATACATAATAATTACTATACTTAACTAAGTCCTGAAAGAATACTAGACAATATCACTAACAGAAGTACTGTTTGTATGTAGTCTATCGGTGAAATACTCGTGTTCTAACGCAGATGCCAGGCTGGGACAGGGATGTGTAACGTGGACAAGGCACACAGGAACCAATGCCAAGCTTGTCGCCTGAAAAAGTGCATCCAGATGGGAATGAATAAAGATGGTGAGACCCAATAATGTCTCTTCAGTGGTTGTCATGTTTGTTTATTTGATATTGTTGTTGCTTAACTGATTTATTTCTGGCTTCCCGGGCTTTTTGGCATAGTAGAATACTCAAAATGTTAAAATTTTAAAAAATTTTAAATAGTGGCCCAAAGGACGTTCTGTTGAGAAGCTCGCTCTTCTGCGAAATACGCCTGGCCAAATCAGAGAGAGCTGAAACCAAGGAGGAAACATCATGAAAGGAAGGAAAAGGCAAGATAAACACAGTTAATACAAGGGTAGGGAACGAGCAGTCTAAGGGGAAGGAAGCATTAAGCCCAGAGACGGCGCACACACCAGAACTTTAGTCACGAAAGTGACGCAAATAAACCAGACAACAAATATAGACGGAGACTGTTAGCAGCCTCGGCCAGCCACGGCCAGCTCCAGATTTATAAGGCCGTACAGCTTAAACGGGAATTCCCGTTCTTGTGCAATAATTGAGTCCCTCTGCTTCCACGGTTTTTATGGAGGAGATGTATACACAAATTAAACTACAGTTTCATTAATTTTCGACATATTTTTTTAGAACTATACGTCATTTTTAAGGCAATTAAGTGTGCCAATTAAATATATCAATAAAGGCTCTTACAGACAAACAAAAATGCTTTTGCTACAGTCAACATGAACATAAACACCAATAACGTTTAGATGTAAACTAAAAGTTGTTCCAGCAAAAGTAAAGAAATATCAGTGCTAACTCTTTGATTCTGAGAGGGTATTGTTGCATCAGAGGAGCGGAAGGGGGTGGGGGGAGGTGTGACATTTGTACTTTATCAAATTTAGCGCATAAAAATACTGCTATGAAACATACACATGTCATACATAACATAAATATAAATGATTGATGGTTATTATTATTTTTAGTAGACTACTACAACATATAATTATACTGTTATTTAATAATTAATAAACAAGCACAATCAGTATGAAATTGATATGTGCAATACATTTTTCACCCAGAGTAGTTTTCTTAACAGTACTTATAGCACTACTAAATATGTATCCTCAAGGTACAAACAGCACAAACAAATTTGTCCAGTTTCATCTTGTTGGATGAAATCAATTCCTTATCATTGCGAATTTTTTGGTAACAAATATGCATAGGAAGTGGATGAACAACCAGAAGTTTCTGCAAGAGTTTACAGCCAGTGTTCGCGAAGCAAAGCAAAAGCCAGTTAACAAAAATTAACACAGACCATACAACTGCAAATATGCAAAATAAGTCGATGAGCAACCAGAAGCTTTCGCAAGAGTTTACAGCCAGTGTTCGCGAAGCAAAGCAAAAACCAGTTTACAAAAATCAACACAGACCGTAGAACTGCAAATATGCAAAAGAAGTGGATGAACTACCAACAGTTTCCGCAAGAGTTTACAGCCAGTGTTCGTGAAGCATAAGTCAAATGGTTAAGGATTAATATTATTAGTGTACTGCTACAACATATAATTATAGTGTTAGTCAACAATTAGTAAAGAGGCAAAGAGTGACTTGCTGTGAGAGGTTAGTTAGTAAATTGAATATTATTTTCATCCACTTACCTAGAGCTCCAAAATATCTTGACACAATTTATTCACAGTGTGTTTGCACCATTTATGCACAGTCTCCCGTGAATTACAATTAAAATTGTTGTAATCTAACAGCTTGTATGTCCACTTTACAATATCCGCTTGTCGATTTGTAATACGAATACAATCAGAACACAGAAGTTTGTAAGCATATTATAATGTCACAAAATGCAACATGGAAACGCTTGCAGTAACCTATTTTCGAGGGGACTCAGCCAAAATGGGCCATAATTCAGTTTTCAGGACCAACATACAGCCGGACGTGGGCTAGCTAACACCAGGCTGAATAGTGGTCGAACTTTTAAATTTTTTTCCGAATTCTCAGACGGGTAGAAGATATCGAGGCCGGCTTCTATAGTGTTGTATTGCGAATGAGAAGTTATGGGGCGCAGAGCCCATGGTGACGGCGAGTGTGACTAGCATGACCCGCCCGCTTCAAGAAAATCCTTATTCGATTATGGCATGGGATTTCAGGACCATTGTTGTCAATATTTTCGTTTAGTCTGTTTCTTCTCAGACGCTCAGCTCTCATCATTTCTGCAGTCATTTCTTTATTTATTCTTTTTCCCTTCCTGATGTGCCCCCGCCGCACAACACGGTCCATGGCATTTTGTTCCCATGAGTCCACTTCAGTACCTGTATCATTCATGTCCCGAATGTAAACATAGTAGAGGCCGGCCTCGACATCTTCTGCTCGTCTTCAGTCCACCGTAGAAGATGTCCTTAAGATATCTACCATCCTAAATTCTCCATGTTGCTTAGTTATTATTATTATTGTTGTTATTCTTCTTATTGTTATTATTAATATTATTATTATTATTATTATTATTATATTATTATTATTATTATTATTATTATTATTATTACTATTATTACCATCGTACTCGTCACCACCATCATCATTTTTAATTGCCTTGGCTTAGTAGGTGACTATTGCTTGCACATTCTGAGATGTTAAAGATGTATCAGTTCGTGTGCTGACAACTTACCGTTTCAGGATAAAACCACGTTTCAGAAATTTATGTGGATATTATTTGTTTCTTTTTCCGCAAATCTTTTCTAGATATAATCTTCTCCTAATGTGGATATGAAGTGATGATCACTGCATTACTGCTGTGTTAGTAATATTGCCTGGCCTTTTACAAAAACCTTCGTTAATTTTAGCTGTCTAAAAAAGTTTCAGCATTCTCGTGTGTAACCTGAAAACTGATTCTTCACTCCATATTTACACACTCTTGTTAGTTTACGTTATAACTGAAATGTTAAATAGTGAATTAAAAACACATCCACTGCATTAAATTTATTAACTTCTTTTTCTTCCTTCGTTCGTTTGAAACAGATTATCTATATCTGAAATGTTGTTTCTAGTAATATTATTTTGTAATTCGCTCTGCCACCCGTAAAGTTTGACTTGCACTGATGTTTTTCCTTCATTTATTTATTAACTAAATAATTTTTAAACATGTAAAGTCGAGAAAACCAACGCATTGACTGACCGCCGAAGAATAAGCAACAAAAAACTATCGAGTTATCATACTATGACAAACACTGCTATTAGCTTGTTTTGACTGATTGCCTGCTTCCAAGACAAACTGTAATAAGTTGGCGTTCGGCCTCTTCAGTGGTTGGCATAAGTATTTGCCGCGTGTGCACATTTTTCGGATTTTACTTACTTACTTACTTACTTACTTACTTACTTACTTACTTAGCCACTTATTTTCTACCTTGGGGAGTAGAGGTTTGCCAGAGACATCGCCAGAATTCTCTGTCAGCAGTTTCTGTTTTGCTTCCTTCGAGTCCACTGACAGACAGGGACTATCAGATGTTGTCTTCTTAGCGAATCCTGGGTCATAATGGTGGTCTGGTTCCGGGGTTCTTGACTTCCCATACCTTTACACAATGCTTATAATACACATTATGCTTATAACATAATGAACATTTGAATGACTATTTAGATGCTTATAATATGATAACGATTTACACATAATGCTTATAATATGATAACCATTTACACATAATGCTAATAAAATGCAGTAAATTTACACACATTGCTAATAATATGATAACAGTTAACACTAATAATATGATAGCAATTTACACATAATACTAATAATATAATAATAATTTACAAATAGTTTTTTAACAATATAAAAGTTCGCACATACAGCTAATAAAATTGTCAGACCTATACACTTTCTGATGGAAAGTCTTTGGCTTACAAAGTAACTTGTAGTCATGTGCTTTGGGGTGTTGGGGTGGGGGGGGGGGATAGATTGATGTTGTGACTTGTAATCACTGATGCCTTTCTGTTTCCCCAGCTGTTCAGAATGAACGCCAGCCAAGAAACACAGCTCAAGTTAGAGAGGACCAGATCGAGCACGAGTTAGAACACCCGCTGGTTCCGTGTAATGCCACTATCAGCGCCACCCACCCGGCATTTAGTCCTGGGACTGGTCACAGATTTATTGCTGGCTTGATGCCCATAGACAGGACACCCATAAAAGATGATTCTGCCGACTCTGGTATGTGAATATTTCAGGTTGTTCCCAGTACTTAGAGATGGCTGACTTGCTGATTCTTATTTGATGGGGGTTATTTGTTGCGGTTGGATGTCTTCTGTTAACGCCGAATATTGGGCGGCGTATACCAAACCTGACATCCCATATTGTACTAACGACTTCAGGCATAGGAGCGCATTGGGAGTATACTAGCCTTATTCTTGGAAGAGAAAATGCAGCCTGAAAAGTTTATATTATGGCATGGCATACAAGGCCCTTAGCCTGGAATGGCAGCTGGTCTAGGAGGGAAGCTGTGTCAGGCGGACAGATAGAGTACTGCTCTTCTGTTTCGGCAGCATCTGTAGCCTGCTTGGTTCCAAACCTGCTGGTGTAACCTTTTTTTTGGTGATACATAGGCAATATATGGTCTCTACAATACTGCCTAGGCTTTGTGCTATGGAGAGGATGAACTTCATCACTGGCCGTAAAAAACACAAATGTTGACAACAAAGGTCCTAAAATTTCATGCTATAATTTTGAAAGACTTTTCTTTGCTCAGGCGGGTTCTAGCTAGTTACATTCGCCATCGCCATGGGCTGTGAGTCCCATGCCTCTTCCTAGCGCAATATAACACTTTCGTTTCGAAAGACGGAAAGGTGTCAGTCTAATCTAAATCTTGATGGCTGGCACTACTTTGTTGCTATTAGTTGCTTTAATGAACGATTGGTTGGTTGCTATACTTATTGTGTGTGTGGTAGGTTGACAGTGGTTGACCGGTTGTGAATCTTCCCCTGCCATGTTCTTTAACATGTAGTCGGTGGAACAGCACCAGTCGGCGAAACAATCCGGTCAGTCAAATGTTCTCCTAAATAATGTAGCGGACTGCCGATGTTGGTTTGCATTCAGATCCGTTTTACAGAACTTGTTTATTTGTATGCAGACTCATTGTTTCTCGCCTCTCGGGCAGATGCGTCTGACTTTGAAAGAAATAACCTTAATAGTCACCTTTTACTACATGCTTGTTAGCAGGCAGGGAGTCTAATCTCTCCCCCCCCCCCCACACCCCCCCCCCCCGAAATTGGGGGGGGGGCGGATCTGGGTTTTTGTGTGTAAGGTAAGCACTCGTGTGATCCGTCTTCTGTACTGTACAGTACATCATCAGTCAGCAAGTCCTATACATAATGTTGCCCTCTTCACGGCACGCCTTAAAGTATCCATTTCCCTAGTCAGCTTTCCAGTCCCAAGTGCTTTCAATGCCAATGCATCTTCAATGTATTCGCGGTGGTTGACCCCTGCCTCGCTTTCCACAAACTGCACCCTCCAGCACCGTTTTTTCCAAGCCACCATGACGCTTGATGTGGCCAAAATACTTCAACTTTCGGGACAGGATGCTGTTAATGAGCCGGTTCTCCTTGATGTTTAACTCGTGTAGCATTTTAATGTTTTGCCTCTTCTTGATTCGTGGTATTCTGCAACTGTATCTGTATCTGGAGTACCTAATTCAGCTGGGAGTGAGCATAGGGACTGGAAGATTTTCAAAGCGCAAAAGGTGGATTGGGCGGGCTTGTAATCAGGTTGCTGCTGGCACCATAAGTATTGGAATTCTTCGTTGGCTACTGAGGGAGGACATAGAGCAGGTGTAGGAACGCCCCTGCAGTGATGTCAGTTCATTGACTGATTGATTCATGCATTCTTTCGTTCGTTCATTCTGTCTAGGTGAAGAGAACATCGATGTGACGAGTGTTGACGGTGAGCATCGGTCACATCCCTACACCCAGCAGCAAACACACCAGCAGTCCAGCTTGCAGTACTTGGAGAGTGTCATCTATCCACCAGGTCATGAGACACTGTACGAGTGTTCCGCTCGGCTGCTTTTCATGGCTGTCAAATGGGCGAAGAATTTACCATCTTTCGCTAACCTCCCATTCAGAGACCAGGTTAGAAATTGTTTTCTTGTGTCAAAGATGGAGGAGAAGAATGGTGAGAAGGAGGAAGAGTAGGGAGGGGGGGGTGAAAGTAGAAATATAGTACCGTTGGTATTATGATCGATTCATGTGTAGGTTATTATTTACGTACCGATAGCGAGCCAGGCACTGTTAATTATCACATTGGAGTACTTTAATCAAAAACTGTGTAAATAATACAACGATGTACTGTGAAGAATTAAAACACTGAAATACTTAGCGTACCTATGACAATGAACAACTAGATTATGACCTTGGCGTACTTTACTTAACAATGGTGACCACTATCATGCATTGTTAAGAAATATGACCTCCAATAACTTTCCATACTAATGCAACCATGAATACGTATTAAGAACATATTAACTTTGAAGTAGCTTTCTTATTTTGATACACACGTAATGATTACATACTATGAACCCCTATCTCTGCTTACATCTTTCTTCTTTTTTTTTCTTTTCTTCAATCCATGTTCTCTCTTTCACCGTCAGGTTTTGAAAAGACCTCTGTTGTGAGTCCTTCGCGTGTGCTACTTAGATCTGGTATTCGGATGGATGGATTAGCACCTTTCCGTCTTTCCAGACGATAGTGTTATACTGCGGCATGGGACTCTCAGCCCATGGCGATGGCGAGTGTGACTAGCAAGACTCGCCCGCGTTAAGAAAAGTCTTCCACAATTATAGTATGCGATTTCAGGACCTTTTTTGTCAACATTTGTGTTTAGTTTGTTTGTTTTCAACGCTCAGCTCTCATCTTTTCTGCTTTTTTCCCCCTTCCTTTATTATCATTCCCTTTCTTATGTGCCCCCCTCCACACAATACGGTCCATGGCATTTTGTTCCCACGTGTCACCATAGAGGGCATCTTGGGCATCGCATGTGAAGGTTATTTAGCCGTTTCCCCAGGTTCAAATAAGTTGACCAAGTTTCACTGTCATAAAGCAGAGTGCTAAGAACACAAACTGATAGAAGAGAAATTATGTTTTAATTGTGAACTTTCTTTCCTCCCCCGCTCCCACCACAAACTCTTTCTGTTAATCTTCTTATTGTTGTTGCTGCCTTACCTCTCCTGGAGCTGATTTGTTTGCCCAGCGATAGTTTATTATTTACTGTTGATCCCAGATAGGTAAAATGGTCAAGTGTATCCAGCTTTTCACCATGAATGTAGACTGCAAGTCTATCACCAACACCTTGCCCAGTAACCTTTGTCTTCTTGTTGCTAATTGTTAGTCCAAATTCACAGCATGCATCAGCAAATGATCCAGTATTCAACAAATGATCTGGTACTTAACAAATGATCTGGTATTCAACAAATGATTTGGTATTCATCAAATGATCTGGTATTCATCAAATGATCTGGTATTCAACAAATGATCTGGTATTCAACAAATGATCTGGTATTCAACAAATGATCTGGTATTCATCAAATGATCTGGTATTCAACAAATGATATGGTATTCACAGCTTCAGATATTCCAACAATCTGTCGCTTGCGTCGGTGACCTCCAATGCTGCTTCCATTGTGTCTCAGTGACAGGTCTCTTTGTGCTGCACTATCATGTCTTCAATTATGTCTGAACCATTTGTCTCTTGATGTAATTCAGCACTGTTTCCCTCCCACGTTGTTTCCTGATTTCGTCATTTCTGATCAGCTATCTTCTTTTCACATTTAGGATTTATTGTAGGCATTTCTTTTTTGCTATTTCGATTTTTAAAAGCTTTCGTTACGCTCGTTTTTATTTTTAGGTCGTGAACAAAGTTTGCGTTCCTTTTTTATAATTTAACACCACGATTAATAGTTGTGTGTGGGCGTTAAACTAACAATGCACAATACTCGACTGGAGTTCTCAAAAGTTTAAATTATTTTCTGAATAATTTAGTTGCAATATTAAAAAATATTATATTATTATCTGTACTCTACTTTCAAGGGTTCACAACGCGTTTATTAGATACGCTATAAAATTGTTGATGAATTTCGTAAAGATAAATATTTAATCTTGCGTGTCATTTGAAATATACGATACGTTATTTTTGTCTTTTTAGTGCAATAATTATAAGATACATTTTAATTAAAAGCTTATTGTTTAAATTCATTTAAGAAAACTTTTTTTTTTTTTTAATTGTGTGTGGATTTTTAAAATATTCTTTCTTCTATTGTCCCGCTTCTTGTATTTTAAACTAACGAATGTCCTGATCCCGCCAGGTGATACTGCTGGAAGAGGCGTGGAGCGAAATATTCCTTTTATGTGCCATCCAATGGTCTATGCCCATGGATGTCTGCCCACTGTTTGCAATACCGGACCATATGCCAGTTTATACAAACAGTAAACTGTCTCCATTTTCGGACATGCGCATTCTTCAAGATGTGATGGCTCGATTCAAAAGTATCCATGTTGACGCTGCAGAATTTGCCTGTCTAAAGGCTATCGTTTTATTCAAGTCAGGCAAGTCTTACGTGAAATTCTACATGTAAATCAAACTAAGCTACTTAGGCATGTTTCAGTTTTATATTTGTACATGAGGTACCCAAGTGACTTGTTTGTGCTGAGTCAGTAGTAGTTCAAGTTTACAGCAAACGATCTGTAGTTCCTCCCTTCAAGTGCCAGCTAAAACACGAATAATGCCACTCACTTCCACATGTGGGTTCTAGGGGTCTGTATTGGAGAATAAAGAACCACGCTTCCACCCTCAACAAGCATGCCACAGGAAGTAACTGATATCGGTGGCTCCTTCAAAGTCGGAGTGCATCTGCTTTAGAGGCAAGGAACTAGAAGTCTGCACAGAAAAAACCCAGATGTGTGAAACGAATGTGCACGTAGTGCTCTAGATTAGGGAACAAGGTCCAGGTGGACGAACAATTATAATTTTTTGCCAGAGTTTACAGTCGATGCACGCTAAAAACATCTATACTTACTTCCCTGTGTAAAACGTTAACAGACTACAGTGTTGGCAAAGTCAATATCGTGTGCGTGAATTATTTCATAAGGCAGCCGTCAGAGGTGACAACACCAACAGTTTGTGACTGGAATTGCAGTTCGTATTAAAGTAATGACTCGGTTCAC